GCCAATCGGTCTGATTTCGGTGGTATTTTTTCCGGTTGCGGTGGTTGCTGTATCTGGTGATCCGGCGATTTGGAAACAATTGTGGATTCCGATTCCAGATTTCCGAGGGAATGGGGCCGAATAGGGATGGGATTGGACGCTTCCCATGATGATAGGGTTTTTGTTTGTGCAGGGGAGACAGAATCATCAGATTCGTCTAAAAAATAAATGAAATGAATCAGAAACAGATTGTCACAATGTTATGTCGGGGTCTGTGTATTCAATCTCGCGTAACCGTACGCGCTTTCAAATGCGACCTGATGGACTCAGGTACCATGCACGAACTACTTGAGTCCTGCATATATATATATATATATATATATATATATCACACTTGTCTGAGGCCAGACTGTGTGCCAAACAAATCATGGTACAATAATCTTTATAAGAAGAAAACGTTTCATGATTGGCTTGTGGGCTGAATACTGCCAGTTTGCCCAGGCCAAGGCAGGTGAATTTCCTTGAGGAATGCACAACCGGAAAGGTATGGTTGTGGTTCGTAAGCTTCATCTTGGTTGGTTTGGAATCAGGGTTTTTGGCCAAATCCCCTAGGTGAACCAACTGTGGTCCACCAACCCGGTTGTTCCCCCGGATATCGGCTATTCGTCCTCTCACTTTGGGGCGAAAACACCGTCACGAGAAGGCAGTGGGTAGGACTACCTCAGCACGTCGATCTCACTTAAGTTCTTCTTCCAGAAATCATGTAGGTTTGTATTTACTCAGTCGATAAATATGTCGACGCACGCATCAGATCCCGTGTTTTCGTTCTCCTTTGTTGGGCCCAAGTTCACAGTGCTACGTCTGTTCAATTCGCTTGGTGATTTCTTTCTAATTCGGAATCATCTTTTTTATGTGGACATTGTGAAAGGTTCAGTAGCGTCGGTGGGATTGAATCCCACGCATGGACGCCGCCTACGCTTTTGTACAGCGTACGCTCCACAAGGCCACAACGATAGCACTGATCTTTTCACATTGGAATTACCCGATCCGTCATTTTTATTTGTTTGTTTCTTGGATCGCTTCACCTTGCGCATTTTCGTTGGCGGTGTTACACAAGTTATTCTCAAAATAGATGCTCGTCAATCTGGATGATGGCGTTCTCTGTGTCTATTTTCGGCGGTTTGCCTATCGTTTCACACGATCTAGACAAACACTTGCCTAGGCGGTCTGCTTGATGAAGCGTGCGAAACTGTAGCAAAGATCAAGTGTTTGGAGGAGGGTTTCAGGATTAATTACGGAATGAAATCATCTGGACGGCTGGCACATGAAACGTTTTGCTGAAGAAACGGATAATGCACTTCCCGTGGTTATTCAGTCTTCAATCGTAGATTTTAGCCCAGGTATCAATTGATTTATAAGGTTATCTTCCCCGAACCGGGGAGTACTGTTATGTAATAAGAAAGACTGTTTATAAAAGCTGAACTGCCATTGATTTAAAATAATCCAGACAAGGCATGTCGGTCGCAAATATCCCGAAGCTGATTACTTTGTCTTTGTCTACCTGCTTATGTACACATGCTACAACGGTGTAAATTTAAATGAGGGCGATATCTTTTCTGCCTAAATTTTACTTCTATTTAATATATGATATAGTTTTCAGGAAGGTAGAAGCGGCCAATCTAAGGGCTGCCATAGAACACAAGATAAGGGACTGTTAGGCCGCGGTGGTGGTGGGATTCGAACACACCTCTTTAGCGACCTGTTCCGCTTGACCATTGATGTAATGCATTGTTACTTCGAGTACCCCGGTCAAGACTAAAGCCTATCAGTGAAGGCCAAGGTGCTATGAGCGAATGTTGAATATCCACGGGAATCACCATGATGGCGAGGTTAAAGCTAATTATGATCTGATACACATGAACACAATACGTGAACAGTTCTTCAGCTATTGGTTCACCTACGCTTACCTGGATATGGAAATGCTCTTTAATGTTTTAATTAGTATCAGATCAAATTTTATGAATAGAGTTAAGCTAATTGTGTTGAGTCCATTCGCCCCATTGGTTCTGGGATTGAGGACATCAAACTAATTGGTTACGTGTCACGGTTAGTATCAATCTTGTTTTATTCTCTCTCTCTCTGTATCCACCATTTTCTTTACTCAGTCAAATGGCATTCTGTGCCATTTCGCATCTGTATTGGATTAGTCTCAGCGTGCAAAAGTAATACCCCAACACGGCAACAATAGATTCCCATCTAAGCCATTCCAGAGTTCGTTACTCACTAGCCTCTCATCAGTGAGAGGTTAAATGTTAGTGATTTGATAAAGGCTCCTGAATTTGCTTCCAAAAGAAGACCACTGGAGTAAATTATCTCGTTTAACCAAACAGAGACAGGATCACACACACTCACTCACCTATAAGAGTTGGGGCGCCACAATAGGAAGGACAACATTCACCTCTGCGAGTTCGTGGTTGTTGTCCTTTCGGGCAGAGGAATGTTCGTGCACAACGTTTTGGGGCACACGTGTAAGTCTGATTTTGCAAACAGCGACACTCTGTGCATGGATCTCCCGCCGGGGTCCATCGGGCATCCGGGGCGTAGTAGGCCGTTTCCAACCGGTCTACAAAGTAACAGTCCTGATCATGCCAGATGTGGCGACCTATGCTTTTGGTTGGGGAGAGAGTGCGAGAGCAAGGTTTGCGAAACACACTTCGTTAGCAAGTCCACAATTGTTTTTTTGCGTTTCAAACCAATTACATTGACGATGAGAATATTTCTTAACACAAATTAGGATCATTATTTGCTGAGGTGTTCATAGACAAATCGACCTCAATCGCACAAATCAACCACCGTGTACTACTGCATGATAGGGATCATATTCTCCGTCTGTTCGATGCAACCACAGACACAGAGAAAGCTACTGTACCAGTTCTGTTTGACACCGTAAAATTGATTTCATACTGTAAACCAGAAAGCAACAACAACTAAACGTTTATCTCTGAGTCGTCGTGGTTTCGTTTAGTTCGCAGTACCAAACCGGAGATTTGTACCGGTCACTTCATCCAGACTTGTCTTGGGTTCTCTACCGAACACGGTCAACCTATATCTGATTCTCTAACACAGGTTAAGAAATAGAAACGGTGAAAAACGATCTCCGTTGTCTAACAGGCCTCATAGATATCCGGAGTGGTTGGTCATCCGAACTAAACTGGTATAATGAAAATAGAAGAAAACTGGATTCTAAGAAATAAATGCCACTGTTGCTGTTCAAAAGGGTGATACGACCTCAAAATTGTTTTGAGAGGCGGTTATCAAACGACATGCATAAGACCTTTCATGCAGCGAAACTTCACACGTTGTGTCGGTCGGGGCCACCATTAAAACAATGTCAGATTCTGCCAACTCTTTCGGTCTGTGATCATTTTTTTCTTGTTCGTTGGTTGCTCGAATACGCTTTGTTTCTCCAAAAGGATACCTGAATATTCATTATCCAGTGTGTTTAAGCACTGGAATACTTCGGTCACTGAACAGCAGAGTGATTTGTTTCACACGCCAGTGAAACAAATCACGCGTGAGACACGATTGATTCATTCCACTCCTTGTTCAGGGTTCCAGAGGCGGTTGGAATCCGTGTCCATAACAGCACACACACTGTCTGTGCGTGCTCAAGCACTACGCTCGCGCGCTGCAGTTAGTTCTCCCACATCCACATGAATCCGGACGATCGGTTTAACAGGCAATTTATTGATCAGTGCGGATTTCACATTCGGTCCTAAGGTTTGTCTCCATTAATCTATGATGATTTGCGCACACTTTTTTCCTCGTGTTTCATTGCGAAAATTACATGAACCTTGTGATGTAATTGGTGTGAATATGAATAGTTTAGAACGGGATTGTTTGTCGTTTAGTTTGGAATACACATTATAGTTAGCGAAGATGTCAGTGTGTAATTGATCTTTCGTTAGTAAAGGCAAACTAAGCATGTGAAGAAACTTGATTATGTGTATCGTATTCCACACTCTCGATCACCAGTATTTTCCTGTTGAGTGAATAGGCAACAATAGACGACAGAACGTATTGTTACTTAAACCCAGACAAGTGTGAAAGGCGAATAGTTCAGGGAATAGATGAATCTAGAAAACTGATAATGCATACACTATAATAGGCTATCGGAACCGAGGTAAGACAAATCATCCCGATGGATTCTTAGTACTGTGTTTGTATTGGAACTGGTTTATATATATCTTCAAGTGGAATTTGATAGTCGATTATCAGACCAATTCGGGCTGGATCTGTCACATAACACTGTGAACCCTGTATATGATCATATCTTATGCCACGCGATGAACGATAGATAACGGCTGTGGTTATCATGTCCACGAAACTAAATCCAAGAAAGCGTATCAAATAGTGGGTAATCGCGAATCTGGGTGTTTGTCACCTCTCTTTCGATCATCGACCGTCTCATTACCCGAGATCAGTGAAACATGGGTACTGAAACCATTAGATTCGCCTGTTCTATTTGATTCGAGAATAGCGGAAATCAACTGTTGATGTTTCTCTTGTTCCATTCATGGTTTCTGGACTTATGCTCAAGGGAAAAGTTGTACATTTATTGGGGAACATAAAAGAACAGCAAATGGCGCAGTTTATGAGGTGGTTACGAAGTAACCTAAGTGTCGTCTGACACTCGATTTAGCTTTTGTTTGTCAGTATTACTGCTTCCTGATTTTCGCCCGTCGTAAAAGGCTTCATTCAACTCTGGCCGATGTATATGAAATCGGATTTGGGAGGTGTTGCCCGGATCGGCAACCGTTAGTGAAGCATGCACGTCGTACATCTTCCGTTCATAGCACCAGAGATGGAACTCCAAAATCGCAATGTGCGCCTGACTGCTCGATTTTCCACTCTTCAATTGCACGCACAGACTACTTAGATCGCGTATGAAATCAAATTCGTAATTATCTAAGCTTATGAAACCCTGGATTGGTGTGTTCTAGCATTTCCCAGACTGTCTGACCACATTGAGATGTAAGCGAGTTGTATAATTATGGGTTTAATTATGATATAGGAATGGAACCTTATTGTTCCATTTTACAACTAAACTTGCCACTATCAACCGAATCGTCATAAAGCAAGGCCGTATTCGATTTAAATGAACGTAGATATAAAAAAATAACCCCCTTGAAGATGAATTGATTTCATTCCGATATGCTCACTGAGTTCAGTTAAACTGTTGACCTGTTTAGTCATGTTATTTTTTACAGGAAACTTCACTCACCTGGACGTGCACATAAGACAGTCGCATTGACACAGTAACAGCGCCCCTGTGGCAATGCAACACCGAGTCCTGGACCAATTTTGAGAAGTGAGGGTGGAGTTGTTCCACCTGGACTTGGTTGACCCCACATTTCCGATTCTGCACCTTGAGAACCATCCTGTCCGATGTGAGTAGGTGCGGATTCATCCGTATCCTCCATTGTCCCATCCAGTCGTAACCGGCTTCTATCCATCATGGATTCAGTGTGTTCGGAACTAGTCTGGGTTGGTCCCGGTTGAATAAAACAGCTCCCATTGCCTGTAAGAGATCGCAGAAAGAAGGGTGGATGGTAGGGTATCGATTTAGTTAGTTAAATCCGATTGTCCACTTGCGTTTTCGACGGTCTCAGAGGACATCTCTGTAGTTTTGATCTGCTATTCAATTGACGCGAGAGTTCAATTGACGGATAATAGTGCACTTTTTCTGTTGACTGAATCTATCACTAACCAACATCTGAAACGTGTTCGAATGTTTTGGGCCTCGTATTTCAATCAAACAAGCAACGGAAAAACACGTTTACATACGTTGGAAAGAAAGTGTAATAATAATATTGGTTGCATGGTGGTAGGAAAATGACGACCAGTATGCGAGAGAATATCATATCCTGATTGTAACTAAATGAGGCTGAGGGATAGAGAGAGAGAGAGAATGCCGATCGATGCTAGACTGAAGTGAAAGTGATTCAAACACGCGGATTCAAATGACTGATAACCTTCCTGTTCAGTTCAATTGAAACCTTCATTGTTCAAGGCCAAAATAATCTTCATCATCCGTTCTTGAGGCTAATGTAGATCATACACTTTGCAAATCAAGATAAAAGATTGGCCAATTAACTATTAGGATCGGGGCTGTTAGATATACTTGTTGGCCGGAAAAGCAAGTGAGGTCGGGGCCCGTATAACTGTTGTCCTCTAAGGTCCAGATTATTCTTGCTGCTTTCCTTTGAAGATCCATATCCAGAACAAACGGGATTTTACTGTTCATTCACCGTTTGTTCGCTAACACGGATGCTCTATTGAACTCTTTAGAACTTCTACTGCGCTTCACTTCATCGAAGAGAAGGCTTTTCTTTCCCTCATAAGTTATTTTCCGTTCGTAAACGATCATTGCATTATGTCAGTAATCTGTGATTTATGATCATATCTGACTTCCGAAACCGGGAGGTGGTATGCTTCACCATGTGCGTGTAAAGCGGCGTAGATAACAGTCTTCAAACACCATGTCCCTGCACACCACCATCTAGTATTATCGACCGCATAGGTGCGACTCGACCTATCATGAATGTTCGGATATCGCCAATGCCCAAGAAGTGTCTCAAATTGATCAGCATCAACCGGACCGATCGTATTTATGCTGATAATTTGATCCAGTTGTGTTCACTAGGGATGGATGAATGGTATTGTATAAGAAGTAAAGCGAATCAACATTATCTATTGATTCCCGAGTTAGAGTAACAGTAACACTTGATCTATCTCGATTCTTCCCGCGAAAGCACAATGTCGTGTGCCTACTCCAGGTTAGATAACTTGCCATTACAAATACCAGTTGCTAGCGTTACCAACATCTTGCCTGCTGGACATGCGGGATTCTCGGGTTTAGATCTACAGACCTGTCACGCCAGGTTTAGATTTTGTTTTTTCTTTACAGGTTCGTTGACCATCATTTCGTCGTTTACGAGTGATCTTCGACCTCATTCGTGTAGATATAACGCAGACGGCACTGCACCTGGTTGTCTGGAAACGTCTCAGTCTGTTTGGGTGGAAGCGTTCCGATGAAGCATGAAATTTTCTCCAAAATTTGAAAGACAGCCTCAGGCATTCAGCTCCTAACGGCTGACACGCTTCGCGAGAGCTCACACCAAAGATTAATTGCTTTTTGTTTGAGAAACCTGATAGTGGCAGTGATCTAACTCACAAGTTAGAAATGTGGACTCAAAGCAGAGTCTTTGTCAAAGTAATTGTGCGGAAGCTTCTGCAAACTTTTCATGTAATGCTTTTAAGTTGTTTGATGCTGGTGCATTGGTTGTCGACCGGTTTTTATTCCGGGTAGTTTTCGGCTCTATGCAACCAGTGAGATGAGTAAAGACGGCTTGATTCGGAAGGATGATAGCTGCCCCCGTGATGTACGAAGATTTCTCTCGTCGTCAAGAGGAAGCCCCAGGTAGTTTAAGGTCCATCTAGCGATATCTTTTTGTTCAATAACCTTTCAGTGTTGGTTTGCTGAACTAAACTCTCGAGGAGCGAAAGTAAGTGATAAAAAGAAAAGTCCACTGGTGCCCAATTAGATGACCTTGAAAACTGAAGTCTATCTGATCGTTACTCACTAGTTTTAAAGCATGATCGATTGTCTGACTGTGTAGGCCATCGCACAGAGCTCAATGAATCAAAAACTAGTGAATAATATAAGTTCATCACATGACTCCTTTGAGATTTGTGAGGTGGGACATAAAACTTAGTATTTTTCTCATAGTTGATCACAGGAACCTGCGGTCCAGTTAGTGGCTGTCATCGAATCCTGCTTTCAGATCCGCTTCTGTTTTGCTCCTGCTACGATACCGCATCATGGTTGTTGATGC